AAAAAAAAAAAAAGAATGTGTGGTCTACTTGTACCATGAGTGTTTCTCTGGGATGGGACATCTTTATTACTGAACAGAGTCTAGATTGTTATCTTGTCCCTCCCACCTTTAAGCAGGTTTTTCATAACTATACAGGAACAATACCTTTAATGAAAGTGTTTTAGGGCTGGGAATGTGGCTTAGTGGTAGAGTGCTTACCTAGCATGACACTGTGGGTTCGATTCCCCAGCACTTCTAGAAAAAGCTGGAAGTAGAGCAGTGAGTCAAGTGGTAGAGTGCTAGCCTTGAGCAAAAGACACTCAGGGACAGTGCCCTGGCTCTGAGTTCAAGCCCTAGGACTGGCCAAAAAAACAAAACAAAACAAAACAAAAACTCAAAAAACAAAATAGTGTTTTACTCACAGTATCCAAAAGAAACCGAGTTCCTAGTTTGGGGTATACTTACTTGGTGACTTTTTTTTTTTTTTTTTTTTGCTTTAAATTCTTTTGGTTAACTTGATTTTCAAAAAGTTTAGATTTAGTTTTCATTTTGGTCCAAATAAACTTTCTTTTCCTTCTAGAAAACTTCAGAAAAGTTTCCCATGAAAATATGTTTGTTCATACCTTTTATTTTCTTTAGTTTATTCGCTTTTTCTTTCTTTTTCTCTTTCTTTAAAAAAAAAAATTCAGCATTGTTTGCCAAGGTTTCAAGTTTATAGTGAGAGGTGAGGCAACGTTGATCTTGGCAGAACAGTGCAAAGCCAGTAGAGTCATTAAGTGACGCAAGCTTTTGATTTCTTTTTTCTTTCTGTTAAAGCTCTCTGGCACAGCTGGCTATTCTAGTCCCAGAAGAATACAGAAGAGACTTTCTGAAGATCTGGTTGAGGCTGTAGAAGAAATTTGGGGCACACGATAAAGAAGCAACAGAGAGTATCAACTAGAAAACTAGATAATCCAGACAAGCTTCTTGGCTTTGTGGGATCTTTTAAATTGTTTCAGAACTTGAATTTTTGCTACAGAGGATGAGGAGACAAAACAATAAAGGGCAAGGACTGTTCTAGATTTCTGCTTATCCGTTCGCCTCTTCTTTGAGTTGGAAAAACTGTCCACAGAAGCCTTGTGAACAAGACTGAAGAGAATGAATTTCCCTGATTCTGGCTATTGTTGGAGTTGAGGATTATATCCACTTCAGCAGGCATTTTTGGAAGCAATTAAAAAAAATAGAAGGAAGCAATATTTAAGGACTTTTCTGCATTGGTCCTGTGCCATGTTACATTTTGAATACTGGAGCAACTAAGGGACATCTCTATCTTCTGGATCTAAGAATATACCTGAATCCTTTGAGCTTGCATAAATGATGTTTGGAAGGTGGAAAACTAAAAAGTCTTTCAACATAAACTTATTAAATTCTGGATTCTCTTTCTTTTGAGGACTTCAGCTGGTAGAAATTTCCTTCCAAAAAGATACAAAGCCTTCCCTGTGTTTTCAAGCTAAATGTGAACAATAATGTCTTGGAAAAGAAATTATTTTTCAGGGGGCCGTGGCAGTGTCCAAGGGATGTTTGCACCTCGAAGCTCAACTTCCATAGCTCCCAGCAAAGGCCTCAGCAATGAGCCAGGGCAGAATAGCTGCTTCCTCAACAGTGCGCTACAGGTAAGGATACTTTTTTGTTTGTTTTGGTGAACTCTGTTAGTTGCTGATGTTGTATTTCTGATAGTTGTTTAAAATATTTAGGGTTTGGAGGTATGGCTTATTTGGTAAAGCACTAGCCTATGAGCCAAAAATGTCAGATGCTGAGTTTAAGTTCTGGTATTGGATCCCAAACATTTTTTAAATAAGTATTTGACAGTCTCTGTTTGAGGTCAGTACCCTGAGATCATTTTTTAAAGTTTATTTGTGATCTTAGACAAATCTCTATATCTATTACCTCATTTATAGAACTAGGGATTAATAATGACAATGGAAATAATAATTGTTTAACTACTATTACTTGCTGGAAGTTGGGTAATTTTTCCATTTGTTTTTAAACTTTTTTCTTTTTGGAGGAGAGGTACTGAGGTTTGAACTTGGGGTCTTGAGCTAAGTTGGCTTGCTTGCTGGGCTGGTTCTCTACTATTTGAGCCATACTTACAGCCCAGATTTTTGCTAGTTTGTTTTTCTTTTTGTTGATCCTGAGGCTTGAACTTAGGGCCTGAGAGCTGTCCCTGAACCTCTTTGTGCTCAAGGCTAGCACTCTACCACTTAAGCCACAGCACCACGTCCTGCTTTTTTGAGTAGTTCATTGGAGATAAGACTCTCTTGGGGCCTTTTTTGCCTGGGCTGGCTTCAAACTCTGATGGTTAGGTCTTGAGTAGTTAGGATTATAGGTGTGAGCCACTGGCACCCGGCTTGCTAGTTATTTTGAAGCTAGAATCTTACAGAATTTTTTCTGGGCTGGCCTGAAACTGTGATCCTCTGGATCTCAGCCTTGTGAATAGCTAGGATTGTACCTGTACCCACCATCTACTATGTCTCTGAACAGTCTGTACTGTTTTTTTATTTTTCTTTTTAAGACAAGGTATCTTATTAACCTAGTTACTTTTCTCTAGAGTAGAAAGCAAAGTTCCTTCCAAAAGTCAAAGACTTCCAGGTATATTATTGTTTCCTAATATTCAAACTCCTTAGCCCACACACTGAATGAGACAATCTGTCTGCTCCTCACCTCCTCCCTTTGAGATTTCCTATTGAATCATGATGGGTGTCAGCTGAGACAAATTTAAAAGAGGTAGTAGAAAGCCAAATCTCCTAAGGTGATTATTTACCCTAGATTTTCCCTTTCATTGTGGTATATCACCAAAGTAGCTTTAGACTCCTGAAGCTTTCCCTCTGTAGGTGTACTCTGCCTAGTTAAGTTCATGGACTGTTAAGTTCATCCCCTTTGCTTAAATTTTAAATAATTAGCTAACCAAGATAATTGTACTTGAGCAAAACTATAGTAGCTTTACTCCTCAGATATAATGAGAAAATAGATTGCTATGAAAGGAAGAAAAGACAGAAGTGTTTGATATAAAGAACACTGAATTGGGGAATGCGGAGACTTGAATTCTAGTTTTAGCTTTGTCACCTTACACAGGTAATAGCATTTGAGTTTCCTCATTCATATATATAAAGTTTTATATTTTCTTAGTTTTCAGGTTTTTATTTGAAATTTTTTTAAAAAAAATCGAGTGTTATCAAGCCTATAGAAAGAGTTGAATACTTTTCTAATTACTACCACAAATTGAATCTAGTTAGATGCTGAATAAATTTTTAAAATTTTTCTTCTACATGATATATATTAGTTTTTTGAGTGATTTTTTTATTACTGATAATTTTTATAATTTAGAAGCAGGCAAACTTTTTTCTGTGTTTTTCTATTTATACTATCATTTAAAACAGCAATTTTATCAATTTCTATTCTAGTGTCTGGTGGCACTATACAACACATATTATGTATAATATACATATTTCTTCTTTGTATACACATACACATTTCTATATCCATACTTAAAGAATGAGGCAATGATGATTTTGTATTCCCTTCTATAATCACTGTTATAAGTTAATAACTATAAGCTAATATTCTACTTTTGATTTGAAAGCTAGGTTATAAATGTGTTGAACCTATTACATTTGTTATAAAAAGGTGTTATTTACTTGTGAGTAGGGTCTACTTTAAAAAAGCGTTTAGTATTTGTTTGAGACATGTAAGAAAGACAGACTCCCTAGGTGTGCTGTGATCTGGGGCTCCAGAAGTCATACTTACTCATATCTCATGCCATTAAATGTTATCTTTCAAGACATATTAATCCTTTCCACTGAAAGGAGAAGCTGTACTTTTCTTTTCTTTTCTTTTTTTTTAATTTTCTGTTGGTTGTGGTATTTGAACTCAGGGCCTGGGTACTGTCCTCACCTTTTTCATTCTAGGTTGGTACTTTACTACTTGAACCACAGCTCTACTGCAGGCTTTTTGATGGATAATTGGAGATAAGAATGTCATGAACTTTCTTGTCTGGGCTGCTTTGAAATGTGATCCTCAGATCACAGCCTCCTGAGTAGCTAGGATTATAGATGATATTACTACTATTTTTCTCATTGACTTTAAGATGTTCTCTCTTTTTATTTATTTATTTATTCTGCAGTTTTGGTTTTTGTAGGTCATACATACTAAACAAGTTTACTACAATTGAGCTTTTTTCTTCCAGTCTTCTTCTACAGGATCCCATTTGAGATATATCATACCATATTTTCATAATGTGACCTCTTTATTTTCAAATTAATTTATTTTCCAGAATATGTGTATTCGTCCCTCATTGTATACATGCTTGCTTACTCTCTTTAATTTAAAATTAAATGGTACCTGTTTATAGAGTAATAAAGTATTTTTCCTTTTTTGGAAGGTTTTGTGGCATTTGGACATCTTCCGACGTAGTTTTAGGCAGCTTACAACTCACAAGTGCATGGGAGATTCCTGCATCTTTTGTGCTCTTAAGGTAAGCCCATCAGTTTGTTTCTTCTATCTTTATGTTGCCAAATGGACAACATAAAAGGAGATTGGGTTAATTAAGGTGATTCCAAAGGATTTGTTTCTGAATTATCTGCCTGTGGTTTAGGATGTGATTTTGTTTGCTTAAGAGTAAAATTATGTAACTTAGGTCGTCTTTCTTCTGAACCTTTTGCCTATATAGTGTTATGTGATGTGATAGGATATTATTAAAGTTGCCTCTTCTTTGAGCTGAGCACTGGTGGCTCACACCTGTAATCCTGTTTACTCAGGAGACTGGGATCTGAGAATCATGGTTAGAAGCCATCTAGGGCTGAAAAGCCCATGAGACTGGTAATTAGTCTCCAGTTAACCACCAAAAAACTACAGATGGAGGTATACATCAAGTAGCCTTCATTCTTTTTTGTTGTTGTTGTTGTTGGTGGTGGTGGTCAAATTCTGGGCGGGCCTGGGCACTGTCCCTTAGCTCTTCAGTTCTTTTTTTTTTGGTTGGGCGTGGGGCTTGAACTCTGGGCTTGAGGGCTATCTCTGCACTCTTTAGCTCAAGGCTAGTGTTCTACCACTTGAGCCACAGAACCAATCCCGAGCTCTTCAGCTCAAAGTGAGCGCTCTACCACTTGAACCACAGGGCGACTGGCTTTTTCTGCTTATGTGGTGCTGAGGAATCCAGCCCAGGGCCTCATGAAGCAAGCACTTTACCACTGAGCCACCTTCCCAGCCCTCCAGATTCATTTTTAAGTCACCTGAAGTCTGAATTCTTAAGGATGCTTGGATATGATAATTACATCTCTAATTTTTGTATCTTAAAGTAGGAATTTTGACTAGAAATCTTGGACAATGTCCTAGTTATACTGACTTACTTATAACAGTTTATTCCAAAACAGTGTTTGATAACATCCTTATGGAGTTTTAAGTATGATAGGCCCTAAGAAAGAGTTAAGTGTGCCTTCCCAACTTCTTGCCTCAGGGGTCACAAACTCCCCCGCCTTTGTTTGGTATTATCACAACATTTAGCAAAACACAGAATATAAACCATTGGTTAGGGCTGGGAAGTTGGCTCAGTGGTAGAGTGCTTGCCTTGGACGCATGAGGCCCTGGGTTCGATTCATTAGCACTGCAGAAACAGACAAAGCCGCAAGTGGTTCTGTTGCTCAAGTGGTAGGACGCTAGCCTTGAGTTGAAGAGTTCAGGGAGAGCGCCCAGGCCCCCAACTGACAAAATAAAATAAAATAAACATTGGTTAATTGGAGAGTTTAAATATGAAATTTAGTTAGGTCACACAAATGTTTTACAAATTGATTGTAACATTTCCTACTATGCCAATTAAGACAAATCCTTCCAAAAAATCATTTGATCTAATGTTCTGAATGGTACATTGATAGTAGGTATCTAGATTTTTGATAGAGCAATGGCTCCTTGGTGAGTTAGTCCAAGGAAAATCTTATTTGTGGCATAAAAACCATTCTAGGGAGATATTTACTATGGAGATGTTAATGCTGAAGAGATCTTTGATGGAAAAGTCTCCTGAAACTTGAAACTCTTGTCTGTACCAGGAAGGGATGATAGAACCTGTATGTCTTTGACTGGTTGGTACAGTGTTGAACTCTTTATTCATCTAGGAGGGACTGGGCAGAACAATCTGCAACATTTTGTTGTTTCCTTTTCTAGAGCAACATATTTATTATAAATTAGTATTTTATAAGCCAGAGATAAAAATTAAAGTTATTAGACTTTATGGGACACACCCTGAGACATGCAAATACAGAAGAGAACTTATTTTTCAGTCTCTTTGGACTGAGGAAATGTCTTGACCTTTTCAGAAAAGAAGTTGCTTGTGATGGATTGGTAACAAGCTTAGGGGATCAAAGGCTTTATTTTGGGACTTTATATCGCTAGGATTGTGTTGAATTTCTGGTATTTTCTAGATTACATCAATGTCTAATCAAATCAAGAGCTTTATTTTTCTTTTTGGTCTCTTTTGGTATGTTAGGAGTTTATTAAAGATTTGATTGTTTTTCCCTCTAAAGTATTTCTCCATCATGAAGTACTATGTAAATATTAATTAACTGAGGTATAGTTTGTATACTCTTCAATTTTAGGCATCCTTGTTTGAAAATTCTTTCAACTTATTTTTTCTTGCTGGTCTTAGGGCTTGAACTCAGGGCCTTGGGTAGCCATCTCTGAGCTTTTGTGCTCAAGGCTGACACTCTACCACTTTGAGCCACAGCTCCACTTCGGTTTTCTGGTGGTTAATTGGAGATAAGAGTCTTGTGGACTTTCCTGCCCAGGCTGGCTTTGAACCTTGATACTCAGATCTCAGCCTCCTGAGTAGCTAGGATTACAGATATTAGCCACTGGTGCCTGGCATAATCATAGTGTTTTGTTTTTTTTTTTTTGGTTGGTCATGGGACTTGAACTCTGGGTCTGAGCACTGTCCCTCAGCTCTTCAGCTCAAGCCTAGCACTCTACCACTTGAGTTACAGTGCCACTTCCGGTTTTCTGAGTGGTTTATTGGAAATAAGAGTCTCATGGCCTTTCCTGCCCAGGCTGGCTTTGAACCTTGATCCTCAGATCTCAGCCTCCTGAGTAGCTAGGATTACAGGCATGAGCTACCAGTGTCAGGCATAATCATAGTTTTTAAGAGATAGTCTTGTATCTGGGTGGGAGAGAAAGAAAAGGAATGGTGATTCTATGAGGTGTAAATCTCTGAAATACCATCAATGTGGGATGTCTCTTTCTGTTCCCCACTTAAAAATATTTTTTATAGAATATGAAAATAATGTCATTCATAACTGAATTAGATTCTTGGTAGTTTAAAAAATAAAAACAAAGATATAGAGATTAGATAGGAGGAAACAAAGTTGTCATTATTTTCAGGTGAAGTGATTGACTTTCTAAAAAAAAAATCCTACGGGACTGGGAAGTTGGCTCAATGGTAGAATGCTTGCCTCACATGGCCCTGGGTTCGATTCCTCAGCACCACATACACAGAAAAAAGCAGGAAGTGGTGCTGTGGCTCAAGTGGACAGTGCCCAGCCCCAGCGTTCAGACCCCATGACTGGACCGCCCCCCCCCCAAAAAAAAATCCTAGCCTGATGATATGACTCAGTGGTACAGTGCTGAGGTTCTGTTTTTTTTTTTTTTTAAGTATTTGTTGATTGATTGGTTGTCATTTGTGGGATTTCAACTTAGGGCTGCCTGCCTGCCTGCCTGCCTGCCTGCCTGCCTGCCTGCCTGCCTGCCTGCCTGCCTGCCTGCCTTCCCTCCCTCCCTCCC